CCCCTCCCCCCCGCTCCCCCGTTCTAAGGATAGACCTAAAGCAGACTCCATAAGGAGTCTCTCTGTTGTCCCAATGGAAGCTGGAATCTTTTGGCCAGCCTAGGTGGTGGTTCAGAGTTGAAATCGCTAAGAGCTAAAGTCACTGGTTTGGCCGGGAGCCAGCCCCATTGTGACTGGTGGGCAGGCAGCCAGCAGGGTGGCTGGCAGGAGTAATTGGCTAGCCGGCTGGCAGGAGGCCAGCAGGGCAACTGGCGAGAGCAGACTAGTCTACTAGCCTGCCACCCTCAGGTTCTGGTGTGCAAGGGGAATGTGAGGACTGTCTCTTCTTTTCAGTCAGGAGGCACATCAGTGAGGGGTTGTTTGGTTTTTTGCTTCTCACTTATGTGTGGCCCCTGACTGATTTTTTTTCTGTGGGTCAGCAGCCTCTGACCCCAAAAAAAGTTCCCCACCCGCAAAAGCATCCGTGGCCAGTCTAGACGCGACTTTGCACAAGAAAGCCCCGATCGCCATTTTAGCCAGCGGGGCTTTTTTGCGCAAAACAGTTCTTCCCTGTCTACACTGGCTGGCCCTCTTGGGCAAGTATTCTTGCGCAAAAGGGCTTTTTCCCGAGTGGGAGCGGGAAAGTATTTGCACAAGAAGCATTGATTTTGTACATTACAAAGTCAGTGCTCTTGCGCAAATTCAAGCGGCCAGTGTAGACAGCTGGCAAGTTTTTCCGGAAAAGCAGCTGACTTTCCGGAAAAACTGGCCACTCTAGACACAGCCCCAGAGGGGCGGCTGGCAGGAGCAAGTGGACCACAGGAGCAGCACAAAGGCGGCATGGCCTCAGGCTCAATGAGTGGAGTCATCATGGTGATGTGTCTGGGGCCGCACTGACTGGATAGAGTTGTAAGTGGGGCGTTTGAAGTGGGGTATGGAGAAAGTTTGGGTAGGCGAATGGGACCCTTACATTGTTGGACTAGTGAGCCTGGAAGGCAAAGGACACTGCTCAATCCATTTGAGCTGGGACGGTTACTCGTGGGTTGGTTATGCACTCTGGTTATGGTATTTTCCCAAGTTAATACCATTAACTCTTTCTCACTTTCATTAAAAGTTTCTTATCTATGCTCAGGCTCTGTGCTTGCGAATGGGGGAGCATTGCCTCTCAGAGGTGCCCTGGGGTATATGAATTTCCTAAGCTATGGGTGGGGGCTTGAGCTGGTTGTGTGTGAGATGGATGAAAAGGGACGCCTAGATATTGAACCCGG